GATTTATTTATTTGGGGCGCCTGGTTGGCTCAGGTTGTTAGGTGTCTGCCTTCGGCTCAGGTCATGATCTCAGGGTCCTGGGAAAGAGCCCTGCATCAGGCTCCCTGCTCAGCCGGGAGGCTACTTCTCCATCTCCCACTCCTCCTGCTTGTGCTCTCTCTCTCTCTCTAACAAATAAATAAAATCTTTTTTTTTTTTAAAGCTGTGGGGAGGGGCAGAGGGAAAGGAAGAGACAGAATCTCAAGCAGACCCTCCACTGAGTGTGGAGTCCAACTTGGGACTCGAGCTCTGACCCTGAGATGGTGATCTGAGCCGAAATTAACCAACTGAACCACTCAGGCGCCCCTCCTATAGCACTTCTAACAGTCATCACTTCTCTGGAAAGTTGGTACACCCTGCTGTGCCACTGATCTTGGGAATGGCCTCCCCCACCAAGTTCTGAGTCACAGCCACACACACAATATACATCGTTTACAGCAAGGCATGCTCAAACAAGGGACGGACAGAGGAGACGTGTCCTTACGGATCTGCTGGTTAGAACACTGCCAGTTGGGCTAGCTTTGTGAGTTTGAGCCTTGGGCCACTTGGGTCTGGTCTGTGTTTCGTGGCTCCCAGCTGCATCCCCAACATTCACCCAGCCTCCTTCAAGGTCAAAATGATGGTGAACCTTGTTGTGGGTGGATCAGCACCTGCGTAGCACCAGACTTGAGAAGTATAAGGGCACATGCCTAATTTTGGACCTTCCCCATCAACGAAAGCAATCAAAATATTAAAAATATTTTTAATCAAAAATATCAAAAATATTAAATGAAAACTTTCTATTGTTACACAAAATGAACCAAGTCAGAAGTGATTTCCCAGCTCTGAGCATCTCTCAACTAAATGCTCCCTGCCTAAAGACGTAAGCATTACCACAAAATGTGACCTTGCTGGGCATACTGGCAGTGAGAAGAAAAGCAGATAGGGGAGGGAGTAGTATCCCAGAAGACAAGACAGCTGAGAAACATTAGTAGTTGGAACTTTTCCACAAAGGTTGTTCTTTCTGTTTACAGTTTTCCTAATGTTCATAACATTAGCTGTAGATTGGGAACGCCCCACCCCAAGCGTCTCATACTCTCTTGATGTGTCTCCAGAAGTTCACGGTCAGTATTTGACGATGTCACAAGGTTTACAACGCATTGTCCACACTATACAAAAGTAAAACATCACCACTCACAGGAAATGCCTGAAAAAGTTACGGGTACTTCCTGGCTTTCTCGTCTTTTCTGAGTAGTCTGCCATGAGCATGAACTACTCTCACCATAAAATAAAATCACATAAACTGCCCATTAACGAAGATGAAACCATTTTACATGTTCCAGAGTTTGAGAGACAGGGCGTTGCCTCTTCTCCATCCCTTTCTCTGCTCCTCAAACCAGCAGTTTGGGAAACAAGACACTCTTCTTTGAAGGGAGGCCAGGATCAGATTAAACCACTCCTGGTTTTACAAGTCTAATATGTCCAGTGAGAGCTCTCAGCTCGCACTCAACACATTCTAACCCACTTGTGCCCCACGAAACATTGCTTAGGAGAATAATCAACTTGAATGATGTGTGGAAGCAAAAAGGACGGTGATTGAGGCAACCACGGAATGTTCTTCCCTCCCTGCTCCCACGAAGGAAGGTGGAGAGGTAAGGAGAAGGGCCTTTCCTTTAACCCAGAGCAGGGTGTCTGCAGGGGGTGGGCGGGGCTGAGAGAGAAATGAGCAGGGACAGGTATCCCGCCCACTGGATCAGATCTTCAGCCAGAGGGATCAGACCTAGCGCTCAACCAGAAGAAAAATTTTGCAGCCAGTCAACCATCACATCACACATCCTTCAGTTATTACCTAGTGTTCTGTGTTGGGCCCTAGTCTAGGAGACAGAAAACTAACTGTAAGTGCTTTGGGTGTGTTCGGACAGCAAGGACTCAACTGGCTTAACCTGCTCTACCCCTTAGTTACGGTTTCTGTTTAAAATTCTACCTTTGTGCAGCTGATCCTTCTGCTTTGCTGGTTAATTTTAATCCTTTAAGAGGGGATAGCTAATAGTCAGCGAAAGAAGGCAGAGGCAGATAAAATGTAACACCTCTCAGGCTTGTTCAGAACTGCATCAGTCACAGCTCTGGTTCCGATCGATACAGTTGCGACGCCCAGGCCTGGGTGTTCAGAGTCTCCGATTTTGCAGTTAGACCCAGCTGGGGCTTGAAACTGGCTCCAGATGTTTAGTAGCATTACCAGATGGTGGGATCCTCTTAGGAAGTAATTCTGTGGGCTTTCTATTCCCTAACCAGGTCTTTGAACATAATGTGTTTCTCACCCCCAGCAAACTCAGCCTTCCCATTCCCTAACTAACCGGTCTCTATGTCTACTCTAAGAAGAAATTAGGAGAGGAAGACAGGGACCAGAGAGAGGAGAAGGAGAGGGAGATTATGGTCTCCTATTTTCCATATATGCTAGTAGAAGCCAATATTATTTTTCTTCTCAGTCATCAGGATTTCTCCCACCTCCTCAAGGGTCACGTTCATGTTTTTAGCCTTGTTTTGTTTTATTTTAAGAAACCTGTCTCCTCAGGACCCCTGGGTGGCTCAATCATTAAGCATCTGCTTCAGCTCAGGTGATGATCCCGGGGTCCTGGGATCTGGTCCCACGTCAGGCACAGTGGGGAGTCAGCTTCTTCCTCTCCGTCTGCCCCCCCCATCTTGTTCTCTCTTTCTCTCTCTCAAATAAATAAATAAAGATCTTTTAAAAAATCCATCTCCTACTTATGCTTATCTGGTGATTCTTTTTTATTTATTTTTTATTGAAGTATAATTAGCATAAAGTGTTATAGTAGTTTCGGGTGTATAATATAATGATTCAACAATTCTATGCCTTACTCAGTGCTCATCATGATAAATGTGCTCTTAATCCCCTTTATCTGTTTCACCCATCCCTCCACCCACCTGCCCAGTGATTCTTAATTTCAAAAACAGTTGCAATCTTTATCAACCATCCCATAGGAGGAGCATAATCTGGGTTTGGATTAGACACATCCCTGCCAAGACCAAAAATATACATTATTTTTAAAGTGGTTCCTCAACAAAACAAGTGTTTGGTTTTGGTTGTGGCTTTTTTCGCCATTTTTATGTTCGTTTTCAGCCACCCAATATCTCTCCCTTTCTATTCATTTCCATGCCTTGTCCCCATTGATTTTATGAGCTACCAAAAGTTGTGCCCTCGATTCCCTTTTGCCTACGTTAGCCAACTTTTGGTTAGCTGGCTTTGGGTTAGACAGCTTAGTTGTTCACAAACAAAAATATTAACCCATATGCCTGGGTCTCATCTTAGCTCTCATCTCTTCCTCCTGTCCTAAATTTGCTAGTGCTTAAGCATAGATTAGGTAACAGTGATCCAAATTTTGTCTTCCCAGATAAATTTTCCAAGCAGTACACCTGATTTAAGGGAAGGAGAAACAGGAGCTGATATGAGAGGAGAATATTTCAGCAGTAGGATATGACGAGGTATATTTGTAAGACACAAAGAAAGCTGTGAGTGCATAAGTCCTCACTTACCCCCAGTGTCTCACTGGGGGTAAGGACTTTGAGTACTTACAATTTTACCCATAGTTGGCTTTAGTGAAAAACTGCGCCCAATGCCCTGCTTATTTGTTCAGCAATAAAAGCCACTGGGACGGAGATCACTGAGATTCAGGAAAAGGGGTAAGACCAGAAGCCATTGGCAAGCAGTAGCTGAGCTGACATTATAGATCTCTTTCTTGCAAATATGGGGTGATTCAAATGCTGTCAGGAGCATATCTCTGCTGCTCTTCCCCGCAATACTGGGGGGCAGTGGGGGGAGAGCAGAGCAGATATTGTGGTTTTCATTTTACCGTTGAAAACACTGAATTTCAGAGGGAGGAAATAGGTTTTCCAAGGGTCCAAGGCTAAAGCCCACATCTTCTCATTTCTCCTATAAAGAAACCAAAGAGGAAGGCTAACTGGTGTACTGGCAAAAAGGAACAAGTAGTAAATGAATGAGGAGGAGTAGGCTTTGAATTATTAGTAGCCATCACTGAGGTTCCCCCCTGTTAGGTTCTGAGATAAGTCCCTAACCTTCAAGACGGGGATAACATCTGGTTGCCGGAGAGAAGGGCCTGGGAGCACAGCAAGGGCTCAATTAACGTTTAATGAATGAATGACGCACGAGATAGGATGCACCACACCAGAGAGGGCCTTAGGGCCCTGCAAGGCGTTCCGGTTCCGCACAACCAGTAAACAGAAGCCTCCGGAGAGATCTATACAAAAGCTCTGGACCAAGCTCCTCGGCTCAGCGGTCAACGGCACAAACTTTTATACTCAGATTTTGTTTTTCAGCTGACGAGGTCCAAAATGAGGAGCAACCGTCCCTCCTTCCAACCACCCGCTGTGGCAAACCTCCGGGAAAAAGAGTTTGCAGTGGGCTTGGGGGCGGCTCCCTGGGCTCTCCGCGTGCGCCTCTCCCGAAGAGCGTTCTCCCAGCGATCCCAGGCTTGCCGGGGACCCGCGGCGGCTCCGAGGCGCGGAGTCACTGTCAGGTCCAGCCCGACCGAGCGCGACCCCGCCTCGGAGCCCCGGGCTGCCGCCGGCTCGGAGCAGCGTCGCCCAGCGGGCAGAGGCGGCGGGCGCGTTCCGGAGCCGCCCTGCTCCCGCAGCCCGCGGCGTCCGCAGGCGGCCCCCTCGCGGGGCGGCGGGGAGAACTCGGCGGGCGCTGGCAGGTCGGGCCGCGGCGCAGCCGGCGCCGCTATTGGCTGGCCGGGCGGCGGCGGAGGGGCGGGGCCGCCGTGATTGGCGGGGGCCCCAGCCGGAGGGGGCGGGGCCACTATATCAGAGGAGTCCCTGTCGCGCCGCAGGCAGTCGGGCTGCTGGAGTGCGGCGCCGCGGCGGAGACCCGGGCAGCCGGTGGGCGGGCGGGCTGGCGAGGGGGTGGCGGGGAGGACGGCGTGGGGGGCCGCGGGGCGCGGGGCAGCGGACTGCGGCGCTGCAGCCTCCCGAGGGCCAGCCTCGCCGAGCCCGGGACTGGGTCTGAGCGGTGGCGAGGCGGCAGCCCCGCGCACACCAAAGAGGAGGCGGCTGTGGCGGCAGCGGCGGCCCCAGCCATGCTGTGCTATGTGACGAGGCCGGACGCGGTGCTGATGGAGGTGGAGGTGGAGGCGAAAGCCAACGGCGAGGACTGCCTCAACCAGGTGACGACGGGGGGCCAGGCGGGGGTGGGGGTCGGCTGGTCCCCCGAGGCCGAGGGGCCTCGCGGCGGCGCCAGGCTCCGGAGAGCGCGGCTTGCCCGGGGGCGGGCGGCGCTGCGGCGGCGGCCGGGGGGAGCGCGTCCCGGGCGCTCGGCCCGCGCCCCCTCCTCCGCGCGGCGGTGGGGCACGCGGTCCCTGCAGGCTGCGAGCGCGTGGGGGGGTGCCGAGGACGCGCGCGGCGGGCCTGCCACCCTGCCCCCCCAAAACCCCGCACTTTCCCGGAAGAAGGCGGCCCAGCACACCTGCCGCAGGTGTGTGCATGATGCCGCCTGTCGGGTCCCCGCGGGGTCTGGCAGCGCCAGCTGAGCCCTGAGATGAGGTGGCTGCTGGCGGTCGCAGGTCCCTCGGGTTGCTTGGCAGACAAGCGGGGCCCTCGTCTCTTGCTGCTTTTCAAATGGACCGTTCACCTGCACCTCCCCGTTTGCGGGGCTCGAGAGGACCATGGGTTTTGGTCATGCACACCGCTGCCTTTAAAGCACGCATTTCCTTGGGAGTCGAGAAGAGTGGTTCGAAACAGTGCATGTTGGTAGGACAGACAGCAAATTTGATCTCAAGTGGAAAGCTGTGCCCTCACACCCCCTAGACCTGAGATGTTTGCAAAACCTCTTGTAACAAGCTTAGCTGACACTTGTGGCGTGTTTCCTCAATGTGTTTGTTTTTTTGGAGTCCAGATGGTTAAAATTGTCCAGATAATCTGCCAGATCAGCTGTGCAGATTGTGCTGGTGGAGGAAATTCCAGTGATTGGAATAAGAGGGAAAATACCCTGTAGATTCCCTTCCTCAGCCTTTCTGGAAGGCTGCTTTTGAGGACATCTTTTTCTCTACTGCAGAGGACAGTGTCCTGGGTGATAAAGGAAACACAAGCCTCTCTATTGGTTTAGCAACACTGGGATCCTAGAACTTTGTTCTTACAGCTTAAAACAGGCATTGTAACACCTTTGTTGAACTTTGTTGAAAAGCAGGCAGGAATCATAGACCCAGATGGTGTCCTTGGGTTTGCTTGGACTCCATGGACCATTTCCTCATCCTTGTTGCCTTCATTTTTGTTCTAGGTGTGCAGGCGGTTGGGGATTATAGAAGTTGATTATTTTGGACTGCAATTTACGGGTAGCAAAGGTGAAAGTTTATGGCTAAATCTGAGAAATCGGATCTCCCAGCAGATGGATGGGCTAGCCCCTTACCGGCTTAAACTGAGAGTCAAGTTCTTCGTGGAGCCTCATCTCATCTTACAGGAGCAGACTAGGTAAAGTGACACCGAAATAAACCAATGTCAGACAGACCTTTGATTCCATTTAGAAAGGGCCGTTGCCCTTCCCCAGCGATGTTCACAGGCAAATGGTTTGATAGAGAGTGAGCTGGTTCGTAACTGAGTTTTCCACGGCCCAGCCCTTCTGTTGAGGTGAACAGTGAGCTGCCCAGTTGGCCTGCGGTGCATTTTCTAGCTCTTGAGGTTTTTCTTGTCTTGTAAACAATGAGGCAGCAGGGTTGAATACTTACAAACACTCCGGATCAGTGCCACAACGCAGGAAAAAAAAAAAAAAAAAAAAAAGGTTAAAACCCCAACTGACTTCCTGATAGCGGCATATAATGCCCGATAGTAACCTCTGCCTCAGCCGTGTTACTATAGGTCACTGTAGGCTATTCTAACAGAAAGCAGGAAACAGTTCCTCTTGGGTTGCTTAAACTTAGTCAACTTCTGCCTAGTGTCAGATTACAATATGCAGCAAAGCGCTCTGTCCGACTCAGAGCAGAATTGTAGAAGTTTTTAAGTTTCTTGTATACTTTGGTAAGAGAACTTTGTAAGGCCGGTGTAATCGAACTCCAACCTATAGATAAATAACACATGATTGTTGAGGTTGTTGAATTCATCTCTTTACTTCTAGAAAACCACCAGCCGTGGTAGACAACCGGAGCATGTTGTTTCCTTTTTCAAACAGAAAATTCTTTCTCCCCTGGACTGACTGTAATACTTCTCAAGGATGAGCCAAATTAAGAAACTGGCGTTCAGTATTTATTGCTGAAATGTAAGAGATCTAAATCATATAGCGGCATGGTACAAAAAAAAGAACAAAAGAAAAAACAACTTTTAAAAATAACAAACTTTGGATCTGAGTTCTAATATTTTTTCATAATCCTTTGGTTTGGAAATTTGCCATACATGTGAAAAACGTGAGCCTGACAATCTCAAGTAAAGATAAGTGAGCAAAATCCTTTAAGAGTGTTAGCATGTCATTTTATTTTTGTCCTCTGCTGAAGGATCAATAGAAACATATTTTGAAATACTGTTCATTTGAATTTGAAATGTCTGCTTTACCTTGTTACAGAACTTTATTAAAGGGTAAGGGAAATGTTCAATTTGTCTCTGGGCAAGCTAGTATATTGCATTCTTAGTGTTCCTGAAAATGTCTTGCAAAATATTCACATAATTGAATGTTTAAGATTGTTTTAGCTGTTTATATTAATCAGAATAGGTGTTGTTTGTTTGCTGGTTTGTTTTTTAACTTAAAGCTGATTCATGAAAGTTTCCACTCTGCACTTCAATGTGATAACTTGGAGTCGAGTAAGAGAAAAGGATGTGCGCGCGCGCGCGCACACACACACACACACACACACACTACAACATATTGGAATTTTCATTGCGTAGTTTTGCAATCCTTTGCAGATCTCTGGATGCAAATCTATTCGGATGTTACAGCTTTATTTTTTAAATCTGCAGAAGCTTTGAGGACCAACTACATCTCATTTAAACAATGGCTGCAGTCATAATAGCATGATCCAATGGTGTTATGAATGATTATAGACTTTAAAGTTTGCCACTGGATGGTCTTTACCTGTGCTTTCTGCAATTGAGTTAATAACCATTATTAAGTCCATTTTATTCATGCAAGAAATAGAGATATTCTGTGAGTTAGAAATTTCCTACTTTGTTGACTCAGTTGACTTTAACTCTTGAGATTCATGCCCAATAGCACTCAGAGAATATATACTTAGTTACCTAGGTAATTTTTGACTCTAGTTCCTTTTGAAATCTTATCAAAAAGTTAGCGTGACCTAAGCATTTGATTTGCTTTTAAAATATTGGTGAATTTTACTGGTTTTTCATGGGGTTGTCCAAAATACAGAATTTGAAGAAAATGCCACCTAAAGCATAGAGCATTCTGCTTTAGTAACTAAAGTGATTGTAATTAACATTTGTACCTTTTTATTAGGATCATAAGTTGTGCTGGATCCAGTATAGTTACAATTAGCCTTGTTTTTATGTGCATGTAACTCTGGAGCAAAAATACTGATTTTCTCTCCCGTCATGTCAGTCAGATAAAGCTAGTTGGTAAACTTTTTGATGTTTAATAATTCGTTATAAAATATTTATATGAACTCCTGTAAAAATAAAGTAGATCTGTTTACGTGGTTTGTAAACCTAGCTCTTCCAGTCCAGTTATGAGCTGTGATTTTTCTACCATCTCAAAGTCAAGTCAGGAGGGGACATTTACTATACTGAAAGTGTCTGGATAGTTTATTAAATGGTTCTGAACTATCCTGGCCAAATTGGTCTCTGTGGAGAATTAAAGTAACCTACTCACTGTAGAGCTGCTCGAAGTGGGGGCAGTGAATGTCTTAGTTTGCATCAGATTAAGGAGGCAGCCAAAGAAGGGCAAACAGGAAGGCCTGTTGGTAACAGGAGAGTGTTGGGAGGGGAGGGGGGCAGCAGTGCTGCATTCTAGGTACAGCTCTGCCCCCAACTATCAGAGTGTCCAGACTTCCAAGACTGAGCCAACCCTGAGCTGCTTCTCAAGTTGAAAGCCCAGGAAGAGTTTGTCTCTAAAAATCCTTTCTAGCAGTAATTTTTTTTTCTTTGCTTCTGCTTCCTGTCTATCTTATTTTCCTCAATGTTTTCCTAAATATATTTTTCTGAAGACCCCCCCCCCAAAAAAAAATGAAGGAAGAGAAACCATATCAAGTGTCTGCTTAGATTGATACAGTTAATCTGGTCTCTGATTTGGCCCAATTTTAGATTTGGTTCTTTACCCAGATTATTATGTTTGGCTTTGAAGGTGGTGGCAGGTTTGGGGGGGGGGGGCGTGTCTGGAAAGTAACCAGAGAGTCTGGTTCAGACTCAGCTGGTCATTTCAGAGGCAGAGACAAGCAGGTATATCTGCAGATGTTTGCCATGCTGTGCATTAAAACTAAAAGTGAAACTAATGTATTCTGGAGGTAGATCTGAAATAATAATGATCTTTGAAATTCTTGCCTTTTAAAGTCTCTCAGTTATTCACAGGAATTGAGACCAGATTTTGTCAACATTTTCAAAGCCAGAGATTTGAGAATTACATGCTTCATCTTCAGAGATGGTGATTATACTGCCCACTGCCAATAAAATCTTTGTTTCTCCTGACTTTGCTACATTTTAGCAGAGTTCTGTGATCTTTGCTAGGGGCCCTCCCACTCGTCCTTAAGACTCATCAACACCTGAATTCTCTTTCCCAGAAATCAGCCTCAGTACAAGGGTTCCATTAGTCCTGAACTGTGTCCTTAAGACTCAACACCTGAATTCTCTTTCCCAGAAATCAGCCTCAGTACAAGGGTTCCATGAGTCCTGAACTACATGTTCAGAGAAATGCTGTAATCCTGAACGTTGAATTTCATCAAGATTTCAGCCATGCGAGCAAGTGGTGCTGAGTTTGACTCCACTTGTTAAATCCCGCCGTCCTCCATTGCTCCTTGGGAAAGACTTTGCTGGGTCTGCCCAGGAGATTGCCCTGTCCCAAGACATCATGTAGCTTTCCTTTATAGCATCTAATGAGCGTATAACACTACCATTTACTTATGTGACAATTTGTTTATTGTCAGCTACTCTAATAATTTAAATTCCATGAAGCAGGGGGCTGATCAACATTGTATCCCCAGAGTCTACCAGGTGTCTGGTGCATAAACATTTGTTGAATCCATGAATTAAGAAATTAGAAATAAAAATGGGGTTAACAGATATTAATAATATAAATTTTCTTCCAGCTAGTTTACCAGTTTGCTTCTATAAACTGAAAAGTTTGAGACAATCTAAAAGAAATCTCAACATTAAAAAATGTTTTGTAGTGATTACTGTCTGTCAAGAATCTTCTCCGTGCTCGGCATTCTTTTGCTTCCTTCCTTCACTCTTTCTACCCCACCCCAAGCCTTTTGTTTACTGTGGCTATTGGTTCTCATCTAAAATGAACTACCACTCGCCTGGACCTTTTATGAAATTCAGATAGTTTTCGAGCAAGAGGCTCTCTTAATCTAATTTTCAGCCAGTTTGTAGGTTCTGAGTACTTACTGAACCATGTGTCCCCTTTCTCCCAGCAAAAAATCACTTGGATGTCAAAATCCAGGGAAGATGGCCTCATGGAATCCACAAAGCAAGTGCCAAATGTAACCATGGGCAGAGTCCGCCTTCAGCTGAGGTCATGATCCTTGAGTCTCCAGGTCAAGTCCCACATTGGGCTCCCCGCCTGGTGGAGAGTCTGCTTCTCCCTCTGACCCGCCCTGCTCTGGTGTTTTCTCTCTCTCTCTCTCTCAAATAAATAAATAAATAAAATCTTTTTAAAAAGGTGTTCAAACCAAATCATATGGATCCTAGCCGGGACCTGTAATCATGTACAAAATTTTTCAGTACGTTGTCACTGTTGGTAAAGGCTGCTTAGCATAATTTACCTTTGTGGGGTTCAGAGTGGGTATGTTCTATTTATCTGCTGTAAAGGTGTCACTGTGTTTTTCATATCAACTCTATGCCAAAGAGTAGAATGACACATTCCTTTTCTTTTCTTTCTTTCTTTTTTTTTTTTTTTTTTTGTATGACCAAGGACAAAACAGGCTCCAGGAAAGAAAAACAGACTTTGCTACTGTTTTCAGAAAGTATTTAGATTTCTGAATTCTAATTTAACTATTAAGTCTTTCTTTTTGCACAGAGTATAGGATGTTTATAGGACTATATATTTTATTATAGCCACAGATCTCCCGTCTGGACACGTTCAAGTATCTTTATGAATTTCTCATACTTGTATATTTGCATGAAGTTTCCAAAGAACATTAAGAAATTGATTTTTTAGGTAACCAAAATGAACTTTTAATTTTAAATCTGTCATTTGAACTAAAAGTGGACTATTTAGATGGCACATAGGGTCAGACTCAGGGTGCCCAGTGACACACAGCTCTAGGTGAATGAGGTCCTCTCTCAGTCATGCCCCACTGTAGCCTGTTTCTAGAACT